GCAAAGGTAATGATTTATGCAGTCCTCTATTTCTGATGCTTGTTTTCCAGAGCCCGCCCACTTTTGGTCATGCAGCTTCTATCTTTAAATTGTATCTGCTTTCTCTGTCTCAGTTTTATTTCTCTTGGCATTATTCTAATTCAGACTCCGAGACTCTTGTGTAAACAGCACCATCACCAAGATTCTCCACCTTTAAATCCACTGTATAGAATGCTGCCAGGCCCTCCTTGCACGGGTGAGCTCTGTGTGGCTCAGTCCTTGCTCAACTAACCCAGGCTTCCCGTATATGCAAAGAATTCCTAATCTGAAAACTTCAAGCATTTGGACTCCATGATGTTTTTTGGATTTTGAAGTCTTTCAGATTTCTAGATTAGAGATGCTCAGAACAGTAAGGTCTGTGCAAATATTTCCCAATCCCAAAACTCTGACACACCAAGTATTTCTGGCCCTGAGCAGTTTAGACAAGAAGTATTCAGCCTGCCCTCACCAGCTTTAAACCATTGCTTGGTCTTGCATTTGTGGTCTGGCATTATAGCCCTTGAGACTTTTCCAAACTTCCATAGTCATTTATGAGTCCTAAGACTTCCAAAGCCTCAACTCTCTTTCTTTGTCCTGTGTCGTAGTCACACCTCTTACCTCCACACAAGTTTTCACCTCCAATAAAGTCCAGCCAGCTCCTCCATCTTTATCCTCAGTGCTCTGCAACTGAAAGCCTAGAGCAGTGGTCGTCAACCTTCGGTGGTCAGACGACCCTTTCACAGGGGTCGTCTAAGACCATCGGAAATAACAGACACTTACCTTACGATTCATAACAGTAGCAGAATGACAGTTAGGAGGGAGCAATGAAATAATTTTATGGTTGGGGGTCACCACGACATGAGGAACTGTATTAAAGGGTCACAGCATTAGGAAGGTTGAGAATCACTGTTCTAGACAGTTTTCCAGCAACACTGTCAAGGCCAAGTCTTTCTTGACCCCCAACATGGTCTAGTTTGTCTCATCAAAACCCACAAGGCTCTTCTCTGTCACTCACATGTTCTTCCATTTTTATTGAGCAACCGCTTTTCCTCACCTGCCCAACTTGAACATTCTCTGTATGATCCTCCGGGTTTAGTTGTTTAAACACAGCGTCATGCTATGCAGCCCAAGCTGGCCATAGCCTGGGGTGAATTTCTGTCCCAGCCTCTCCGGTGCTGGGATTACAAGCATGAGCCACTACGCCCAGCTTGACCTCAGGGTCTTGACATTTCTATCTCCTCTCTTGTCAAATACTAGTAACAAAAATACTGATACTCACACCACAGTATTTTCACAGTAAGCTTAAATTCTACATGAGGGACAGTGTCTAGGAAAAGTGACAGTGACTAGGAAAAGCTCTTCCTACTTGTCTGGCCCCTTGTTTCTAGTTATGACTACTGTTTGCCTACCTGTCAGGGGATGATTCCCCTGGGATTAACAGTATGGTTCCTTCCCCAGATGATACGCATCCCACACCTGCTGAGCCAGAATGAACACAACCAAACATCTCCTTATCTCACTTATAATAGGAGTCAGAAAGCATTTTCTGGAAAGGACCAGACCTTACCTTGGGTGTGCAGTCCTCTATTTCGACTACTCAACCTTACCGTGACCATGTAAAGAGGCCACAGGAAGTACTTAAGAGGATGGCTCTGTGGGAGCTTCAACAGAACTTCATTCCAGAGTTAGGTGGCCAGGTGGACCCACAGGCTGTAGAGTATGAATGGGAGGCAGCAACACCTGTATTTTCCATCATCAGCAGGTTTGCTTAGAAATTCTAATCTCTTTTTGCTGTCTGTGGTCTGGAAGTCAGCTCAGCTGGGCCACAGTCCCCGAATATTTGGTGTGGTGAAATATCCCTCAGGAGGACATATGCATTGTGAGTCAGTGTCCAATAGACAGCGAGCTGGCAGTGTTCGCCCTTCACGAAAGGAAGTCAGTCTTTTTCTATTAAGCCTCCCCGAGTTGAATGAGGCTGACCAGCACCACGAATATAATCTGCTTTGTTGAAATTTGAGGGACCTCGAGGTGAATCTCAGCCTAGCAACGCACAGGAGCTGTTGCACCCACACCACATTCTGCTGCATTTACTGCGCATCTCCCTGTCCACCCATCCTGCACATTCTCTCTGTGCTCTTAGGGCTGCTGCTTCTGTGGCCTCACGCTCTGCCAGCCTAGCTGCCTCAGCTCCAAATGGAGCATGCTCCCTCTAGGAAAGAGAGGAGTGATTCCACTGAGCTCTTGCCAGGGCACTGGCTTCCTCATGCCTGTGTCCCGAGCCAAAGAAAGAAGTCACTGTGCCCAGAGACAACTGGTTCTAAACACTAAGTGGAAATTGTTTTGTTAGTCTGCAGAAGCTAAGCCAGTGTGTATGGAATATAAGGGGCCCTTGGTTATGTCTTAGGGTTATGAATACTATGACCCAAGACTAAAGCCAACAGAAAACTATTCCAGTTAAGGTAGGATCAATATTTTAGATGCATTAGGAATGAGGATAGGGATCACCTGATCATGTAATAAGAACTATGAGTAGGGGAGGGGAGGCATTTATTAGGGTAAAAGCAATAGGAATGAATGATGGAGAAAGGCAGTTACGAAGAGCAGAGATGACCATGGGGGCCAGTAATGGAAATGAGGCCTATGGTTGTCCTGAGTATTCATTTCTTCTCTCGTGAATATCCATAAGTATCTATACACAGCTCTCTTTACTCCCTTTCATATTGTGGGTCATAAGATGTGTTAACTTCATATTAAAGCATTTAAGCACTGTTAATTTTAACACCATAGTGTTTAAATTATAGAATATCAAGGAGAAATTTTATCATTCCTTTGCAGCTTCCTCAGGGAAATGGCTAAGCTGTTTTTACACAACATCATGGTATCACGTATCGTGGCCTGGTTCCTTGAAAATCCGATATCCAAAAACCCAGTCAAATATTTATTCTAAGATGTTTCTGTGTTGGTTGTTTTGTTTTTGAGACAGGGTCTTACACTGTAGCCCAGAGATTCACTCTGTAGCTCTAATTATTATACATAATTTCTAATTATGTATCTGTCTATGTGCCTGTATGGGGAATGTGCATATGAGTTTGGATGCCCACAGGGGCCAAAAAAGCGATATTAGATTCCCTGGGGCTGGCATTACAGGTGGTTATGAGCTGTTTGATGTGGCCACTAGGAACAAAACCCCAATTCCCTGAAGAAACAGTCCACATTTTTAACCTCTGAGCCATCTCTCCAGCCCCTTGACCTTAAACCCTTGATCCTCCTGCCTGTCTCCCAAGTGCTGGGATAACAGGCTATTCCATCAGCTCTGGCCTTACTTTTCAATCTTGAGGGATAGAAACCTCTTTACTAAAGATATCGTTAAGAATGAATACAACCACCATTTCATTCCCTTAGACCAAAACAAATAAACATTAAACACGATTCAGGTGGAAAACACCAGAGCAAAGAGTTCTAGACAACAATGTTTGGGCCTGCTTTCCTGGCACTATGCTGTTCTTTGTGCTACTACTCAAAGCTGCGGCTGTCTTTAAGGTGAGGGAGGCTAGATTTTGGCCAAGGCATTTGAGACTTTAATACCTAGCATTTAGAGAAATGGCACCTATATAGTATCCGTGCGGTTTTAATTAGGTTGAACAAAATCTTTACTTAGGATCTTAAGTTTATAAGGCCTAAACCTAATTTTCTTTGCTATTTGCCAAGCTGCGATGTAAATGATACAGTTGGTAACTGAGAAGATCAGAGGTGTGATGGGACTCTTCTAACTTACATGATTTCCCCCCCCAGCCTGGTTCTCACCCACAGAATCAACCAGCACAGAGCTTCCTCAGTTCAGAGAGACCCAAGGGCACATGGAAAACCATGTGTGAATCTATCTCCTATGAGCCTATGGTTCCCATGGTTACACCAATGGTTTAGCGATTTCTTTCATCTTCTGTAGAAGACAGCAGTAAACAGGAGGGAGTCATCTAATTCAAGATGATGAAGACATTTTGCTCCATGAGATAATGCAACAGAATTAGTTTGTCTAGGATCCTAGGCCTCTAGAGAGACACAGCTTCTAGGGCACCAGTGAAGAGAGCTATTTTGTACACCCCATTCCCTGTCCCCAACCCAACCCAAGCAAACTAACCCATTGCTCTTCAGACAATCTTCCACGACAACACCTTGCTTCGAATATTTTGCAGCATTCCTTTCCTACCTAAGCCCTGGGCAGCCTTCTTGATGATGACCTGGCTCAAGTCCTTTCCTGAACCTGCCTCTGTCTACTGATGCTTTGTGTAGTGTCCCCTGTGAATGTCTCTGCACTAAATGTCTGCTGTGCCTATGGAAGTTATCAATAACTACAGCAGTAGTCACTATTCATCAAGGACTGTAGGACTCAGTAATAAGTAATATAAGAATCAACCCCCGGCTTAAGTACTTTATATATGGCAAAATTCTTTAAACATGTGTATGACTTGGGACCAAAATCTCCCTGTAAAAACAAGATCCTATTAATAGCACATTAAAACATAATCAAAATCTGTTCATCTTGTTCAATGTGATCTACCAGCTGTCTCTTTATTCTGAGTCATGTGCCCAGAGGATCAGTCCATGCTTGAAACCTTTCTAATTTTAGGACTGGGCTGTGTATTTGGTTAGCATTGTTAGAGTCCTCTAAAGAGGCTTGAAGCTTCATACTGGAGAGCAGGTAGAGAGTTCAGGAAGAGGATCATGTTACAACTAGTGCGTGTGATGCCAGAGAAGAGACTACAGTTTGCTAAGCATGGATGCAAACTCTAAGCATGTTGGCGGTTCACACAGAGCACACCACATAGAATTCAATTGTTGAAAAAGAGAATTATGATTATATCCATAACTAGTCATACATAATGTATTTATAGCTAACACCCACTCTATGTGTATCCAAACTTTGTAGACCCTAGTGATGAGTCACAAAAAGGGGAGATGAAATCATCTATTAAATTACATACCTTCTGGAATACACTGTCCAAGAACAAATTTATATCCTTTGCAGCATTTTTTCCTAAGAGACAAACAAAAAAGCATCTTAGATGTAATACTAGGTTGAAAAATAAGGTTATTTATAGTTACTGATATTGTAAAACATAATGTGTCCAAAAAACCCTCAGATATAAAGTAGAGGTGGAGTGTTTTTTAATACACTCTGAGGTTAAAAAGAAAAATATTAATATCAGATGACCATATATCTTCCAAATACCAGGATCTGCCACATAATATATGAAACCAACCCTTTGGGTCTTATGAAGTAGATTAATTGCCCCTGGAAAACTATACAGTTTTAGTATATAAATGAAGAAGGACCACAGGCGGGAGCAGATGAAGTCCTGAGCTACCACCTACATCTACTACTTTACATCTGATCCAGTAAGTTGGCTGCTCCGGGAAAGCATCTACATTCTAAACAAGTATAGATGCAATGTTGCCGGAAGATGCTTGTACAAATGCGATCCTCTCTGAATGGAGTATCAAGGACTCAACTCCCAGATGTCAGAACAATCTGACTTCAAAGTAGCTCCTTATCCATGGTTCAAAGACATAAAGGAAAATATACTTGTAACCAATTAAAAAATTAAAAATTTCAGCAAAGAAACAGAAACTCTTATGACGGGAAATTCTAAGACTAGCCAGATGGCTCAGTGGGTTAAAGTGTCTGGCATGCGGCCTGAAAATCTGAGTTCAGTCCCTGAATCCCATTGTAGAAGGAGAGAACTGACGCCTGAAAGGTGTCCTTTGACATCTACATGTGTGGCACCCTCCCCCTTTCCCTTCTCAAATAATAATAGTAATAAACAAAAGAAAAATTATAAAAATGGAAATTCTAAAACTATAAAACCTATCTAAATATTGAAAAAGAAACCGCAAAACCCCAAACAAGTTCTGCCATATGTATTTAACAGAAAAAACGGAGAGATGATGTAGGAAAGAACACTGAATTAATTAACTGGGCATGATGGTGCACACTCATAACTCTAGGACTTGGGAAGCTGAGGCAGTTGGATCCTAAGTTCAAGGCCAACGTGGGCTACAAAGTGAGACACTATCTTTAAAAAAAATAGTGAATTAGTAAACATATAAACAGTAATTATCCAATCTGTAGAAGAAAGACAAATATTTGAACAGTGAATGAAGATTCAGATTTAGGGACATGTGGCCAGTATCAGAGGTCTATCGTACTACCAAAGGGGAAGTAGTGAAATGAAGTAGAATAGGCATGAAAGAATTGTTGAAAATTCCCAAAATTTAGTGAAACAAATTTACTGATTAAAGAAGCGTATCAAGCACCATATAAGCTAAGAACACACACACACACACACACACACACACACACACACACACACACACACACACACACACACACACATACTACACAGATTTAAAGGCCACAGTTTTTTAACTAAAAAAGTAAGCTATGAGTAATCCAGAAGACAGTTGTATGGCATCGTTTAAGAGCTGCAAAAACATTCCTGTCAACCAAGAGTCCTAAATCCAGTGAAAATCTCCTTCAAGAATGAAGAACTGAAGATATTTCTGATAAAACAAAGAATTAGTCACCAGCTCTGCTGCTCTGTAAGACATAGCATGAGCCCTTCAGTCTAATGAGGAGTCTTATCGGATGGAAACTTAAACCCACAGGAAGGGATCATAGCACCATAAATGGTAACTATCTACACTCACATAAGAGGTTTTTAGTCTTAATTTCTACAAAGCAAAAATAGTCACATTGTCTTATAAGGCTTAGGATGCATTTGGATGCAGTTACTATGGTAATTAGGGGAATGGAAGCACAGTAAATGGATCTACATGATTACTGAGTTCCTCACTTTCCATGAAAGAGCAAATACAGCCATTGCTAGTGGAGATCAGCATGCTCTCTGCCTCTCTGTCTCCTGCTTCCATCAGCCCCCTTTCGCATTACCATTTCCATCGCTGTGACCCAGTATCTGAGAGGACTACCTTAGAGGAGTAAAGCTTTATTTGCTCATGGGTCCAATCCACAGTGGCACAGAAGACGTGACTGTGGCAGGGCAACACGAAGTTGTCACATTTTTGGCTACAGACATGTAGCCTGAGTCAGGACCCAAAGCAAAGCTGGACTATAACTTGAAGGTATGTCTCCATTGACTTCTCTCAGCTAGGTCTCACCTCCTAAAGGCTCCACTGCCTACCCAGATACCATGGGCCTGAGGGAAACATTTCACATTCAAACAATAATGTCTTCCTTTCCCTGCCAGGGTCCACATAAGATTTTACCTTTTGCAGCGTCCTACACTGAGGCAGAGGATAAATCAACATTCAGTGACTCTGTCAATCTCAAGATTATACCATGATACTTCCAGTTTACTATAAAAGCTAAACTATAATTTTAAAAGTCAACTTCTTTTTCAATGCTAAAAGAAATTAGACTTAAGGTTACTCTGTTTGCAGTGCTATGCTGCGTTTCATCGCATTTTCTATATGTGTAAGTTAAATACATCCATCAGCTAGGGATTGCACCTTATTAGACCATAGTAATAGGCTACTTGATGCTGAGGTAGATGAAGAAGCACAAACTACTGAATGGAAAAAGGAGGCATTATTTGGAGAGGAGGCATGTTTAATATGCACAAAGCCCAGAATTTAAAACCTCCAAACCACACATACACACACAAAAACCTAGGTGAGTGTTGCCTGTCTATAATACCATCACTCAGCACTCAGGAGGTGGAGGCAAGGGAATCAAAAGTTCAAGTAACCTTTGCTACATAGTGAGCTCCAAGTGAGGCTGAACTACACGAGACCCTGTCTCTAAGGGAGAAAGAAAATAAAAGAAAAACAACAGGCATCATCTGAGTCCAGAAACCATCAACGAGGTTAGAGAAGGCCTCTGTCTAAAAAGAATTTTACAGGTTTAAATTTATCCTTCCTTAATGATAAAAATCCTGGAGAGACTAGGGATACAAGGGACATACATAATAAAGGTGAATTACAGCAAGCCCAAAGCCAACATCAACTTAAATGGAGAGAAACTCAAAGCAATTCATCTAAAATCAGAAACAAGACAAGGCTGCCCACTTTCTTCATACCTATTCAATATAGAATTTGAAGTCCTAGCTAGAACAATAAGACAACCAAAGGAGATCAAGAGGATACAGATGGGAAAGGAAGAAGTCAAATTACCTTTATTTGCAGAATAAGATAGTATATATAAGTGACTCTAAAAATTCCACCAGGAAACTCCTACAGCTGATAACATAGAACATTCCACCCTAAACTCCTATAGCTAATAAACACTTTCAGCAAAGTAGCCAGATACATATTTAACACATAAAAATTGGTAGTCTTCCTATATACAAATTAGAGACTGAGAAAGAAATTAGGGATACAACACCTTCACAATAGCCTCGAATAATAAAAAAAAATCTTAGGGTAACTCTAATCAAGCAAGTAGAAGATTTGTATGGTAAAAACTTTAAAGACACTGAAGAGAGAAAATGAAGAAGATATCAGAAGATAGAAAGATCTCCCATGCTCATGGATCAGAAGGATAAATATAGTAAAATGGCCATCCTACCAAAAGCAATCTACAGATCCAATGAATTCCCCATCCAAATTCGAACACAATTCTTCATAGAACTTGGAAGGACTATTTTCAGCTTTATATGGAAACATAAAAAAATACAGGATAGTTAAAATATTCCTGAATGATAAAAGAACTGCTGGAGGTATCATTATCATGGCTATCAAATTATACTACAGAGCAATAATACTAAAAACAGCATGGTATTGGCACAAAAACAGACATGTTGATCAATGGAATAGAATTGTAGACCCATACATAAGTCTATACACCCATGGATACCTGATCTTTGATAAAGAAGTCAGAAATACACACTGAAAAAAAAGTCATTATATTCAACAAATGGTGCTGGTCAAGCTGGATGGCTGCATATAGAAGAACGCACATGGGTCCATATTTGTCACCTTGCACAAAACTCTATTCTAAATGAATCAAAGACTGCAACACAAAAACAGATACACTGACCTGCTAGAAGACAAATTATGAAATAGTCTTGAATTCACTGGAAAATACTTTTTGAACAGAACAGGGTTAGCACAGGAACTAAGAACAACAACTAATAAATGAGACCGCATGAAACTGAAAAGTTTCTGTATGGCAAGGGACACCATTATTAGGACAAAGGAAGCTACAGAATGGGAAAAGATTTTTTTTTATCAACTACACAAAGGGTGGGAACAAATACAGAGACCCACAGACCATGGGCAGAGAGTGAGAGACCTTGAACACTCAGCTCTAAATGGGTTGTCTCCATCAAATCCCTCCCCTCAGGCCTCATCCCCAGTGAAAGAGGAAGTGGAAAGAATCTAAGAGCCAGAGGGATGGAGGGCAGCAAGGAATCAAGGCTTTCTAGACACAACAGTGTTCAGTGGACATATGAACACTGAGGCAGCATGAATGGATCTGCACCAGATGGGGTCCTAGAGCTGAAAAGAGAAGTGGACACGTGCCCCCATCCCTAAACTCAAAAGATATTTACAACCGATATCCACTTGCAAATCAAAAATTAGTTTTCTCAACAGAGTCTCTCTGGGGAAACCAACCACTCTTAAGGGTAGACTGTTCTATGTCCAGTAATAGATGGCTGACAGAAAATAAACTCCATGGCATCTTTGGAGGTTCTTTGTCTAATAATGTTGTCAGCCCCCAATCGCCCACCCTCTCCCCCACCTTTTTAAACCTTACAGATCATTTGTGTATACATTATGGCTTCTGGTTTGGGGTTTCCATGGGATTCCTGTGTGTGTGAACATGTGTGTCTATATGCCCTGTGTGTGTGAACATATGTGTCTATATGTGTTCCTTGTGCTTTTTCTTTGTCTCTTTTTCTTGTTTAGATGTTTAGTCCTATTCCAACTTGTTTGGTTTTGACTTATTTTATTATGATTTCTTAGATGCCTATTTGTTTTCTAAGGAGAGACAGAGAGGGGGTGGATGCAGATGAG